TTGGATTTGTTCACGGTCGCTTAAATAATAGGGTTAATGGATGGACTTTTAAATTCTTCACCAAAGGAGGAAAAGAGGTAATAATTAAATCAGTGATCACGGTTTTTCCAAATCATGTGATGTCTTGCTACCGCATACCCAAGACAACCACGAAGAAGCTGACGGCGACAGTAGCAAATGTTTGTTGGAGTCCAGGGGAGAGTATGAGAGGAATGCACTGGAAATCATGAGATAAATTATGCTTGGAAAAGGATGAAGGAGGTTTGGGTTTTAAAGACCTAAATGACTTTAATACGGCTATGCTTGGCAAGCAATTATGGCGTCTTATAGAGAAACAACACACTTTGTTTTCTCGAGTTTCAAAGGTCGGTATTTCAGGAATGCTTCACCCCTGGACCCGATACGATCATAATGTCCGTTATATGGCTGGAGAAGTATGACTTCTGCTAGATCTCTGGTTAGAAATGGACTAATTAAAAGGGTGGGATCAGGATCATCCATATTTGTATTGAATGATCCATGGTTCCCAACCACTCGCCCGAGACCACCAAACAAAAATCAACATGACCTTTACCCGACATTTACAGTGGATTCGATCATCAACATGACTTCGTGAAGCTGGAATACGCATGCAATTCGGGCCTTGGTGGATTCTAAAGATGCGAAAATTATAGAAAGTATAGCACTGAGTAGGACTCAGATGGAGGATCTGGATGGATGGCATTACACATAATGGGAAATATACAGTTAGGTCGGGATACCAAGTGGAACGTATTTATCCAGATAACGAAAGATCACCAGTAATGCTAGGACCTACAGTTGATCCATTGAAGGCATATTGTTGTAAGGTACGATGCCCTCCAAAGATAAAAACACTTTTTATGGCAGCTGGTATCGGGATGTATAGCGGTCAAGAAAAACCTTCAAGCAAGAGGGATGCAAGGAGACATTTGTTGTGTTAGGTGTGGAGCGGAGGAGGAGTCGATTAATCATGTGTTCTTTGAATGTCCCTCAGCATGCCAGGTTTGGGCATTATCAAAGATACCATCTAATCCAAATATTTTTCCCACCAGTTCTCTGTTTACAAATATGGATCACTTATTTTGGCGAGTACGTCCAAAAATGGACGATCATCACTTCGTATGGATACTGTGGTACCTTTAGAAAGCCAGGAATAACAAGACGTTTAGTAATTTGGATATTGATAATAGAATTACGTTGAAACTCGTAGAAACGGAATCGATTCTTTGGAGTGAGGCTCAGTTGGCATAGACACAGAGGGCTCCACATCAGGGTGAGGTTAGGGACATTTCGTCCATTCAAGGCCGGTGGTGTTTTACGGATGGCTCATGGAAAGTTAAGGAAGAGTTTTCTGGACAAGGTTGGTATAGCACATTAGAAGGCTTCCAAGGATTAATGGGGGCAAAAAATATCAGGGCAAGCCTTTCACCCCTACATTCGGAGGTGGAGGCGCTAATTTTGGCAATGGAATGTATGAAGAATTTGCTAAAATACCAAGTCACTTTGCAACGGATTGTTCCCAGCTGGTGATGATGGTGTTGGAACAAGAGGAATGGCCCGCGTTTGCAACTTATTTGGAGGATATTAAGACGCTGAAAGATAACTTTCACAGCTCAGAGATCATCTATGCACCTAGAACACAGAACGCAGGGGCGGATAGCCTAGCACGCAGTGCCAAGAAACAATCCTCTTTTGTCGTTCACATGGATGCAGAGCTACCATGAGTCTGTTTGTTTGATGACAAAAAAAAACTACATTATCTACAAAAATAATAATGAAACTTCCCACTTTGACTATAATAAGCAATATATTTAAAATAAAATTTAGTATTTATTTTTAACACTGCATCAGAAACTCTATAAATTAATAAACATCTTAAATTAATAAAATTTACCGGTCTCAAACTAGGTCGATTCAAAGTATGACACAAATCGATATAATAATATTACAGAAAAATTTATGTAAATATATGGTCTCATTAAATTATAAATTAATAATTTTTATATATATATATATATATATATATATATATATATTATCTAAGTACAAACCAACCATTATATTTTTTGTTTTACCTTCATAATGAAATTATTTTTATATTTCTTATAATTTAATATATTTTGATTAGATTAGTAAAATTATATCTTAAAGTATACTTATATTCTATTAGTCATATTTTATACATACTAAATAATAGAATAAACTAAAATTAATTAATATATAGACACTAAAATCAAAGATTATTCTTATTTTAGAGAAAAATATATCTTAAAGGAGAAAAATCTAAAAAAAAATCCTTTTTGTAAATTAACAACTCTATAAATTAATAAAGTATCAAAGTTCCAATATTATTAATTTATATAGTTCAATAATCTTAATTTCTAAACACATTTGAGATATATCTTATTTTTTTTTCCAATATTTATCACTGATTTTCAACTTTTCTATTTTAATAACAAAGAAAAGAAACATTTATAGGACTCATTAAAAATGAACCATTTTTTTCCGTTTAACCTGGAAATATCATAAACCATCGAAAGATCTAGACTAATTCCCAAATAAAGATATAGCCTACATATAGATCCTTTTTCTAGATATTTAAAGGAGTTCTAAAACATGGATTCATATCTTAAATAATCAGAAATTATGATTTAATTTCGCGTAATATTTAAGTTGAAACTGAAATGTATTAGCATTTCAATCCTTATTGAAAATGAACTTCCACATGAAAGTTACTCATAACTAATAGTCCTTTTTCAACACCAAAAAAAAAAATAAAAAATTACTCATAACTAAAATCCTTTCTGTTGACGAACCACTCGTTTCCCAGCCAAAACGAGAATCCAACGTACGATTACTTGTAGTTTCTTTTTTTTTTTTTTTGATTATTTATAGTTTTTTTTTTTGCTAGTTAGTATTATTATTCGCAGGTTATTCATATTTTAACACTATGCATAAAATAACCCCAGGCTGATTAATTATAGTTAGACAGCAACGCATGAGCTCCTTGTCCGCAGACACAGTTCCACCTTTACGGTCTGAATACATTTGACCTCTTCAGTTATAATTTTATTTTCTATATACTTTTCAACCAAAGTTACGGGAAGAAAAAAAGCCGTCCATACATTTGTTTGTTTGTCTGCAACTTGTTTACTTTTATTTTTTATATTGATCCAATCGATCTTAAGAAAACGCATTTGTTACACCAAATAGATTAGTTATCACACTGTCTATTATCACATCGTCTGATCTAAATTAAAATACCTTTTGATAAATATCAGGAGTGAACCAATCATCTATTATAATCTACTATGTACTAATTTTTTTACTTTATGATCAGATGTAAAATCATGCAATTAAGAAAAACAAAAATTGACTAATACGAGAAGATATAAAATTACATGAAGTCTTATTATGCATATGTATCTTAACAAAAATAAAGTATGTATTTAAAATTGGTATTTCAAATACTTTTTTATTTTCCCACGTGTTACTTATTCACTAAACTGCAACTACAAGTCTGCAAAGTACCAACCTCACCCACCATCACACGTTAAGAATGTCTTGTAACCATAAGAAGCCTTTTTAATGTATACCTTTATTGTCTTTTGCATTTATCAAACATGAAATAATTTTAAGTTCTTTGTGTTTTCATTTATCTTCACATATTTAGTTTTTTATTTTATTTTAATGTAATGTCTTTATTCAATCCTTAGAATAGGTAAGATTATTATTTTTAAACGGGACGATTGAGGCCTCGATTGGTACATGTAAAATTATTATTTTTAAACGGGACGATTGAGACCTCGATTGGTACAACAGATAATAAAGCATTAGTAGTATGCTGCAGAAGCAGTATGCTACAGAAGCTGTATGTTTTAATTAAAATTTTTAATAAAGTGATTGGCGGAGCATTAGCAGTATACGATTTTAAAATTGTCATAATAGTTAGTAAAATAATATATTTCTTTTAAAATAGTATATATATAATATATATTAATAATAGATAATAATAATATATAATTTTATTAAAAATAATATATTTCTTTTAAAATAGTATATATATAATATATATTAATAATATATAATAATAATATATAATTTTATTAAAAATAATGAATTTTCATTATATAAATTATATTTAAAAATTTAATTTTTTAAAAAAAAATATTAAATTATTTTTGGATATAACATATTACTCATATATAAAATTATAGTTATAATTTAATTAATTATTATTAAATTATAATTATTATCAAATAAATAAATAAATTAATTATATTTTCCTTATAAATTAATTATAATTTATATATAAGTTATTATTATTTAGTTATTCGTAGAGCACTAAATTACTCATATATAAAATTATCATAAAAGTTAATACATAATTTATTTATTAGTGTCTAAGTAAAATATTTATATCGATAATATATAAATTCTATTATGTTATGTTTGTTATTAAAATAATGAATGATATATGTAATTATATAAGCTATATTATATTTTAAATGTGAAATATTGTTCTTTTAAAAAAATAGTTATAATTTTTATTTTTTTAAATATAAATTTATATTTAATTATAAAAATATTGTTTACATTTTTAAACAAAAATAAATTAATTATATATAAATATTATTAAGTTTTATATTTTCTATATGCAAATGCTCTCCCAAAAGTTCTATATGAGAGCATTGAGTAAAGAGCATTTGCATTTGGTAAATACTTTTCTAAATGATTCGTTGCCAAATATTGATTGGATAATAAAGAGCATAATGCTTATGCTAATGCTCTACCAATTAACCCCTGAGAAGCCACAAAAAGTATAAAAGTAAGATTAAATTATTAAATTTTTGAAAACAAAAAAAGAGAAGAGGTAGTAGTGGAGATATATATATATAGAGAGAGAGCATGTGAAAAAGGTGAAGCTTTTTGATAATTTTATCTCCTCCTCCGTCCTTTAATTTCAGATATCGCCGGCGATGGCGGCGGTGGAATCCTTAGCGACGGAGATGGACACGGCGGTGCGTGTGGTGCACCTGGCTTCTTCTCTATGTGTAAAAGTTCAGGATAAGCTTCGTCTTCCTTCCTCCACTAACGATGGCCACGTTAAGGCCAAGGATGATGATTCCCCTGTCACTGTCGCAGGTTTTTTAAAATATAACATTTCATCTATTCATCGTGATGTGTTTCTATGTATTCAAGATCCGTTTGGGTTCTTCAGGGTTATTAACGAATATGTGATATTAGGTTCTGTTAATGTTTGTGAAAGCAATTTGATTTGCTAATCTTTGTCCCTGAGTTGAGTTACAAACGCATAAGCATAGTCACTTGTGTCCTTTTTTTCATTGAACATGAAACACACAATAATGTTCAAAAAAAGTCCACACTTTATGTTGTTCAGTGCTAATGTAATCAGACTTTGAACAAATGACTGTTTGCATTATTAGTAGTTTAATAGTGAAAAGTATAATTTTGTATTTTTTTTTATTGAAGGCTTTGTATATGTGTCCATTGTTGCTTAGTTTTGTTTGCTGCTACCCAGATTATATGTGTAAGTAAGCACTGTAATTGGTTCATCCCTTTTTGTAACTCTGATATATGGTATTAAATACTGGTTTCTTGACTTTGTTGGCTAACAGATTGGGGTGTTCAAGCGATTGTGAGCTGGGTTTTAGCTGAGGTTTTTGGCACTCAGAACTTTTCCATCGTCGCTGAAGAGGACACTGAGTCCCTCTCCAATACCGAGTCATTAGCTCTTTTAGGTGCTGTCTCTAACGCTGTCAACGAAGCCTTGTCTGAAGCTCACAAATACGGTCTTCCCAAGCCAGACAAACCCTTGGAATCTACTGAAATTCTAAATGCTATTGGTCGATGCAACTCTGTTGGAGGTCCTAAGGGAAGACACTGGGTTCTTGATCCCGTAGATGGGACGTTAGGTTTTGTCCGTGGTGATCAGTACGCTGTTGCTTTGGCTCTGATTGAGGACGGTAAAGTTCTGTTGGGTGTACTAGGATGTCCTAACTATCCGGTTAAGAAAGAGTTCCTAAGTAACGGTTGCAGCCAATCTGGAGCTGGATCAGTATCGAAAGGGTGTGTCATGTATGCAAAGAGAGGTAGTGGTCAAGCTTGGATGCAACCGTTGCTCCCTGGTGGATATCCGGAGTCTGCAACGCTTCTCAAGGCTTCAACAGTTGATGATCCGGTTTTAGCTACGGTTTGTGAGCCAGTGGAGAGAGCAAACTCTAACCACTTGTTCACCGCAGGGCTTACCAATAGCATGGGAGTTAGGTAAAGCTAATGTTGTTTTTTTGAGTTTCATAAGTCTCTCTCTCTAACGAAACTTCTTTTTGTTCTTTACGTGTCTTCATCAGGAAACAGCCTATGAGAGTGTACAGCATGGTGAAGTATGCAGCGATTGCATGTGGAGACGCGGAAGTGTTTATGAAGTTTGCGCAGTCAAGTTACAAGGAGAAGATATGGGATCACGCAGCTGGAGTTGTGATTGTGGAAGAAGCTGGTGGTGTGGTGAGTGATGCGGGAGGGAGAAAGTTAGACTTCTCAAAGGGAGTTTACTTGGAAGGTCTAGACAGAGGAATCATAGCGTGTTCTAATCAAGTTTTGCATGATAAGATTGTAGGTGCTGTTTATGCTAGTTGGCAATCTTCTAGTCTCTGAATAAGCTTAGCCATGTTCCTCAATTTGTTGCAGAATCATGGAGCCCAACGCAAGTAAATGTAAAGAAGAAACTAATCTCATCTTCAAGATCCTGAACAATTTTAACTTCGATTAGCTCTTATGGTTTGCCTGCAATTCAATCATTTTCAACAAGGATTGTGTTTTACGTCGAAAGGCAATTGTTCTAGTGTTTAGGATACTGAAGATTGGTTTTTGTTTCGAGTAAACGTAGATTAACGCTGTAAGAACGTGTTAAGAGAAGTTTTGCGTTGGCGTGATAGACTGTGTTTTGATCTTGTGGCCGAAAAACATTTTGGCCTGCTGAGAAAGGCTCGTTAGAGCATTCGCGGCTGAATATTGTTTTGAGTCTGATGTTAAACCTTTTGGTTTGTGATCGAGGAAATTGGACCGAGAGTATGTTCTTGGAAGAGGCGTGTTCCTTAATGGTGGTTTGTGTAGTTTTCCGGAAGAACTTTTTGTATAGCTCTAGGAGTTCTCTTACGAGAGTTCCCGCAAAATGTTGTGGGCTTCAAATGCTTTGTGAAGCATGTGGAACTTGTTTGATAGACGAGAAGTTGATATTTTCAGTTAATTGTTGTTGTTATGATATAGAAACACTAATTGAACTCCTCTGTGATATATATTAAAATAAAATTGAACTTAACCGAAATTAGGAGAATGAAAATTCATTAAGAGACACACAACCATATTTAATTCAAGACAAATAATATGGTTTTGCATATTGAACTCATTAGCAGATTAATCGCACATCAAAGAAATATTGGAAAGGAAAAGACGTCAGAAGAGCACTCTACATGTTGACAAAGTCTTCATTTATTTTTCTCAACATGAAACTGTGGTAACGGAAGTCTTCTAATATCCGCAGTAACCACATCTTCTACCACAGCTCTTACATCCCATGTAGTTATTGTAACTTGTATGAGAAAGAGAAGCCTTCATTATATCCAGAGCAAGATTAGGGTTACTAACTACGAATAACTTAAAACCTCAGAGCTAGCTATGGTAGATATATTCGTTTTGACATAACTGAAAGCAGCCTCATGGAGGCCATTGTCGAAAGGGATCTGAGCAAGCTCAAGGTAGTCAAGAGCATTGGACGCATTAAGAGAAGATATAACTTTTTTTCTGCACAGGTCACGTAGATGCGGGATTTCGTATTTGTCAGCGGCAAGATAAAGTGACCGAACGTGTCGTTCAGCTTTCGGAGAAAGCAGAGTTCCATCACTATACATAAACTCAACTAAAGCTTCTAACTCTTCTGATTTCATCTCTGATAGAGTGACTGTATCAACCTGTTCAGCTGAAGTCTTAACCTCGTCCGATTCCAGAATCTTCTTAAAAACCTCCGATCTTGATGCCTATTCGGAATCCTCACATATATTAGGGCCACTCAATAAACAGTAAACATTTAACATTCCTAGTATTGATTCCTAGATCAGATATTAGTGAGTATGAGATCAAAAATAAGAAACAGACCAGAATAAGTTTGTGGGCGGATATAGCTGAATCGTCATCGTTGTCCAGCCCTGCCTTGATCCGTATGTCGACTTGCCATTGTTCTTCCAAGACCATTGCAAGTCCACCCGAGAATTTCTGTTGGTTGGTTAAAGTTGCCATAGCTACAATTGAATATGATTTTTTTTTCTCTACTAAACCATAGTGGGTAATATAGAGAACCCTAAAGACAATGGTCCAACTTCTTGTTTGTTTTTTTACGTTTTTGGAATTAGAGGAGACACATTTGTGCTTAGTCAATTTGTACACCTGGAAGTCTTAAGGTCCGGCTTACACTCAATGCGCTCCTTTCTTGGGAAATGTATAGTGGTATATCTTAAAAAAACTATTAAAGGTATCCATTAATTTCTTTTATTGGAACTTCAAAATTCAAATGTTAGAATTTATCAATGTTTTTCTAAATTGATCATCAATAAAATATGGAATAAAAAAGAAAATCACATTTTGTTTATTCAACCCATTTTCAAACCACATAATTATATTTTGGTCGACAAAATTATTAGGGAGAATTTTACTTATATTACTTTGGTGGTACCATTTTTCATTTTTACCATCAACAAAGGAACATTTTTAAAAATACACATTTCATTAAAGAATAAAAGATTCTTGTACCCTATTTCTTTATATATTATCTGAAATATATATTTAAATAAATAAAAACACAAAACATCAATACTAAACTCTAAATCCTAAAACATCAATTCTAAACCCTAAACTCTAAACCCTAAAATATCAATTCTAAACCCTAAACTCTAAACCCTAAACCCTAAAATATCAATTCTAAACCCTAAACCCTAAACTCTAAACCCTAAACCCTAATAAATCAACACTAAACCCTAAAATATCAATTCTAAACCCTAAACTCTAAACCCTAAATTCTATACACTAAACTCTAAATTCGAAACCCTAAACCCTAAATTCTATACCCTAAGCCCTATCTTTGAAACCCTAAATCTTAAATTATATACCCTAAACCCTAAATTCTAAACCCTAAACCCTAAATCCTATACCCTAAACCCTAAACTCGAAATCCTAAACCCTAAATTCTAAACCCTAACCCTAAATACTAATTTCTTAACCTTAAACCCTAAATTTTAAACTCTAAACCCTAATCCATCAAAACCTTATTAAAATTGTTAAGTTTAATTAATTAAGGGTATAATAGTATTTTGCCTATTAAAATTTTAATGTTAAAGTTGGTTAGTGTAAAGTTGAAAAGTGGTATCTTGAAAGTGTTATTTCTGGCATTTCCCAAATTATTACCCGTATATTAGTTCATAAACAGAAATGACTAACTCTTTTGTTCAACTTTTTTTTTTTTGTGTTTTCAACTCATTTTGTAATTGATGGACTAACCTATAAAATTGTTTTAAAATGCCAATATATTTAAAATTTTATTTTTACAAAAGAGAAAACATCAAAAAAAAACTCTCCACTTACCAAAAAAATCCAAAACAATTTTCAACTTCGTTTAAGCCATTTTTTTATTTTTAAAATTGTTAATTTTAAATTTCAATTTTTGTTGACCTAGTTGTTTTAAATACCTACAAGTCAACGTTAATCGATTTAATGATTGATTTTTCGTGTATATGAAATAATTTATTAGTCAACAAAAGTTGAAATTCAAAATGGACAATTTTAATTAGAGATTAAAATAGCTTAAACGAAAGTTCATGTTTTTGTTTCATTTTGAAAAATATGAGTTTTAACATATATATTCCTTCGTGACCGGACATAGCTAATTGTTTTTAACTTAGTACTTCAGTAGGAGACCTGGGCATATTATCCATAATCCAGAACCGAATCCGAATCCGAACCGAAAAACTTGAACCCGATCGGTTATGGATTTATCAAAATACTTGATCGGTTCTGATATGTTGATACTTTGGATATCGGGTATAGGTTCGGTTTAATCCAAAACTCGAAGTAGAATCCGAAGTGTATGTATTATGTAGATAAATATTTACATGTCTTATACAAAATCAACAATTTCCAAAACACGTTTTGTTATTTCCAAAGTTTGAGTATTAGTTCATCTTACTTAACAAAGTTTGTGTTGATACAATTATATATTATGTGAGTTTTCATTTTTCACTTATCACCGTGATCAATTTGTAAACATTTGTCTAATTTTATCATTCAATAACATATAAGACATTACAATTTCAGTTATTTCTACATATTTATAAATTTTCAGATCTTGTTCTACTTCATTCATGTCATAAAAATGATTATCAATAAATCAAATCTCAACAATTGTGATTCATATATTTAAGTTAAGTGTCTTATGTTTATTTGTTTTTTTTTAATTTTACTTCAGTTAATCCGAAACCGATACACTAAAACCCGAACTCAAATGATATGCGGTAACTTTAGTATAATTTGAACCCAAACCGAAACCGATGTGTTATATCCAATCTAAATTTAAGAATTTCTTAAAATGAGACCTATGAGGTGTTACAAAAAAAAATCGATATCCGATATATCCGATCCGAATCCGAATGGGTACGAACGCCCTAGTAGGAGCAATCAAACCTCTTTGAGAATCTGGCATGGTTTAACTTTGCTTCCTGGCCACATGTATTGAAAGAAAAACAAAAAACACTGCCCCAATCTGCAAGCCTAACCTTTCTCTCTTTTTAGAACTGAAATCAACTTCAAGCTTGGTGTACACTTTCTTGACAGATTTAGTTGCTCGATAATTACTTGGGTGAGCCTTAGATACAAACACAATAAATCATTCCCTCTCATCGTTCTGAATAATCAAATTCAGACGTGGCATAAGAATGTTTTAAATTCACCAAGATCCCGCAATGCCAAATACACAACTTAACCAAATAAGTAACTAAAAATACATCCAATACAGCAAAGAAAGAGAGAGAATACATAATACATATAACAAGAAGATAAGTACCTCACAGGTCACAAGAACTATAGTTGCATATGGTTCTCGAAACCAGAACAAATACTGCTCTTGCGGAGACCGACTTCAACGTCTGGCGTCTGTAGTTAATATGAATTCAACCGGCAAGTTCTCAACAAGTACGAGATTACGAGTCTTGTTAGTCAAGAATAAAGTGTACAGTTTCATTAATAGAAAATATCTTTTCATCGTAACAAAACTATCTCTATGTAATAATTACAGCCCCACAAGGAGGAGAATCAATACTCCTACATACCCTACGTGGTCGAATCAGGTTCTCAAGTAGAAACGTGATCCCACCTGGGATTTGTCCGGACCATGTTATACGTAAACTGGTTTATGTCGGAAATGTTATTGCATACCACTCAGTGTCCTCTATATAAAGAGATTCCAATTATAAAAGTTGTTTTTCAAGATGAATAGCAGAGTTTTCTCTGATGTAGCCAACTTTTTCGATCTCGTTTTCATATGATAGTAACAATGCATTGATTTTTTTGAATTTTAAGGAAAAATCGTAATTAAATAAGCGAAACAACATCTAGAGTTGGCACATAATGTGATATTTCTCTATGTCAGAATCGCATTAGAATGTAGGATGGCTTTAGTAGGTGACGACAAGCTCATACTTCTGGCCAGTCTTGACATCAACGAGGACAACAAACCCTTTGGTATTTCTTAATTTGCGAGTGACTGTTTTCTGAAGACTAGTTGAGCTAGTGGCTCCACCGTGCCTGAGTATAAGCCCAACAAGCCAGTGTTTCGGGGCTGGAATAGTTAAATACAATCTAGGGGCCAGTTTGACAGAAGATTAGCTGGTTCAGTTGGCTTGAGATAGTCACTCCTCCACCCAAAGTTTTGCCAAATATTATACTAAAGGGACAAAAAAAAATTTGTTTCTAGGTCCAAAAAAGTCAGGCACAGCCATGTTCCTATGAATAAGCAAAAACCTCAGAAATATGCTATGGTTGATATGAGAATGATAGGGACTTTGCTTGATTCACAAGTAACTAGCAATCCGGAGAAGCATACATTCTGCCAACAACAGGTATGTTACTATAATAATCGGGAATCGGAATATATGTAAGTTTGCCCCATCATAAATCATGATCTACATATATTCAGCCAAGTTCTGGTGATGAATCTGATGATCCCTTGCCAATAGGTCTTCTTACATTATACATTGATGAATATTTATGATGATGAAATGCAAAGCTTTGTTACGGTTAAAAGAAAAGAAGCGGTTTAATTAACGTCCCTTCGGATAAACTTGAGTAGGCAGAACCACATAGCAGTGACAACATTGCCATATTTTAAAAATAGTTTTAGTATAGTTATGATGTAACATCAACAACTAATGTACAATTGTAAGAATGCAAATCTGGATAGTTACAAAAAGAAAATCTGGATAATTACAAAATGCATAGAACTTTGGGAAGGAAAAAAAAATCAAAAATGTCCTAATAAAAATATGGATTGTTAGAAAAATGGAAGCTAATTATTAATTTATATATTGATTTTGTATTTTCTTATTTACGATGTAACTATTTCCTTTAATTGCTTCGAATTTCCTTTTTTTTTTTCTCTAAAACTTATTAGGAACGTTATCAAAAGAAATTAAACAACGGTGTAGCACGATTACATAAGTGGATCTTAAATATAAATTCACATTATTCCACCAGAAAAAGGCATTTATTTCTAAATTAGGGTTCACCGAATCGTTACATCTGCCAAAAGAGAGCTTTAAACTTTTTTCATTGATGTCGGCAAAAGGGCACAAGAACTCAATCAATACATTGAAGATCAGTAGGTAAACCGAGAAAATCGTATTAGGGTTTATCCGGTTCGTGAGATTTGATGGGTATCGTTGCTTCCAAGGCAGATCACAACACTCCTTTGTTGATTCTGTGCAAAGAGAGAAAGGAACTGATCAGATCAGCTAGAGATGCTCGTTACCACTTAGCCAAATCTCATCTTCTTTACTTTCGATCTCTTTTGGATTTCACTAACTCTATTAATCAGTTTGTGCACAAGGACTTGGTCGTGATTCCCTTTTCATCTGATGACGATTCGTGTAGCGAGATTGTTTGTTCTGGATCATCAGATTCAGATTCTGAGTGTGATTCAGACTCTAATTCTCATTGCTTAGTCTGTGATGAATCTCAAACAGCTCCGTTGAGCAAGGATGAGGATCAAAACTCGCAAAAACCCTCGTCTGGAGAGCAAGCTTGCGGCTCAAGTAACGGTGCTCATGAGGGCATGGAGAAGCAAAGTGAAGATTTAGGGGTTGTGGAGAAAGTGTTCGTGATTGCTCCGGTTGAAGATGAGAAGAGAGTTTTGGAGACTTATCCTAATATTAACCAGCAGAACAGTTTCCTTGATGATCATGATATATTGGGTTTGTACATGGATAACACGCAGCTGGTTTACACTGAACCGGAAGAGAATGATGTATGGAGAGAGATTAGGGAGAGAGAAGGGATCCCTGATTTGGAACCGGATAGTGATCACAACAGTCTTGTAAGGAAGAATACGAGAAACAAGAATGTTCAAGAAAGCTCTTCAACAGCTAAAGACACTAGGGAAGTTGATAAAGAAAGCTCTTCAACTGCTAATGTTGTAGGTGAAGTTGATAAGAGTAATGTTGAAGCAAACACTTGTAACGGTAAAGTTGAAGGTGAGGCTGATGATGTTGATGCAACTTGCACACAAGAGAAAGAAACAAGTCCAGAGACTGCTACTGAAGTGACAAGATCAGATGAGGAGCTTAGTGATGAAGCATATGAGTCTTCTTCTTCTTCTTCTTCTTGTTATTCGGGTTCGGGCTATACCGATCTTAGGAACGTAGTAGAAAAGATCAATAGTATAAGCAAGAAAGCTGCTGGTCATAGAGAAGTCTCTGACTTGCTTGAAGTGAGTAAAGTCATTCATCATCAACCCTTAGGATCACAATTCAAGGAACTTGCTTCAAGAGTACTCGGTAGTTCCAAAAACTCGACTCGTGCTTTGCTGTTAAGGCGTGGCTTACCGCAAGAAAGCCTCGTTGTCTCGCTTTCCATGACACTAGAGAAGCTTTACGTGTGGGAGAAGAAACTTCACGCAGAAGTTACAGCCGAAGAAAAACTTAGGGTTTTGTACGAGAAAGGGTACAGTTTTCTGAAGAGCCTTGATCAAAACGGAGCAGAGTCCAACGAGATTTACGAGGCGGAAGTTGAGGTTAAGCTTCATTTATCAAAGGTTAATGTTTCAGTTCGAGCTGTTGAGTCAGTTTCAATGAGGATTCATAAGATAAGAGACGAAGAGCTTTCACTTCAGGTTAATAAGACCATCAATGTGTTCAAAGAGATGTGGAGATTCTTGGCGAAATGTCACCATAAGCAGTTTCAGTTGATCACTAGAAGCAATTCTTGTGTTCACATTGAGAAAGGATCAAGAAAAGTGACGCAGAAGGTTGAAGAACAGGTCAGAAGATTCAGAGAGTCTTTAAGAGGCTACATTGATGCACATAGAGGTTTCGTTAGACTTTTAAACGACTGGTTAAACAGAAACATCATGGAGGAGGACGACCTGACAAAGACCGAGGCTCCTGATATATTTAGGGTCTGTAGGGAGTGGCTAAGAGAGATTGAGAATGTGGATGAAGTCAAAGTGTTGAGTGCTGTTGAAGAGATGGAGCTGAGATTTCGAAGTTTAGGGTTTAAGCAAGTAGAGGAAGAGAAACAGAGGTTGAGAACAGAGAGATTGTGTAAGGAGTTGGAGATGAAGACTAAGGAAGTGGAGGAGAGTTGGGGACGGCAGGCTGACCAAGTGATGGGACCCGAGCTGCTGTCTTTGAGAGAGAGTGCCTCTCACGAAAGAGTTAAGCATGAGGGAGTGATCAGAGAGATAAACGACGCCGTATCAGTGTCTTTGCAAGAGTGTTTGGTTCATATCTTTGAGGCCTTGGAGGATTTTTGTTCTGGTAATTTTAAGGCTTATCAGAACATTAGAATCGGTTTGACAGAAACAGAAACTCTGTTATTATGTTAATCATAGAAACAAATATGTAAATAAAGAATTTCATGTGATGATGCATCAGATATTATTTATAAATAGATTGAATCTATAAAGCGATGTCAAACTGAAAACGGACGTCAAGAGATTGTATCACCAACATAATAATCCCGTCATAAGAGCCTTTGCGTCTCCTATACAGTAGTTATTGATCAAGAGAGTCTTTAGTGTAGTAGGAACGGATAAGAGTTTGAGACCGGCATATGACAAGTCAGTGCTATTTTCAGTGTTCAAAATGTTGGGAACATAATAAACTGATTTTAAAAATAATATGTGCTAGGTCCTGAAAGATTTGAACAAAAAATATTGATTGATTTAAATCTTGATCTTGTTGGTCGAATTATGTATTCTAACAAAAAAAAATTGATTAATTGACGGAGTCAGTATCAAGATTCAATGTTCTTTCTACGAACCCGGTTCATTCATGCATTCAATATTTTTATAATGAAGACTTCTACCATTATTGGGCAGAGATGTTGAGTAAAATTATAGAGGGTAATAACAAAAACAAAAGGCATGCAATAGAACGGGCAGACCAAGTGGGATTTTCTGTCCACCATACTTAACTTCCAATCAAGATGTTAAACATAGTAATGTCTTCCAATAAGCGACAAAAATGTGGATCAATAATTTATAATCGCACTCAGAATCAATAAATAAAAAATTATCCACTAGAAGTCACTAACCAGTGAACCTGTTATTTACTAAGCGTTTCTCAACTACCTTAATCGGCGAAAATCTCATTAAAAGAAATGATCATGTTTTAATGGAATTGATGCTGCAATGGTGAATGTGTTGTTTCTAATGAAATTATCAAACAAAATAGAAGAATACAGTATATTAAAGGGAGGGCAAATCGGCTAGAAAAACTGGAAAACATGTGGTAAAGTTGATTTTGGTACTATGGATATTATTGGTAATTGTAGATATATTTTTAGCTTATTAAAATTTTCAGAAATTAAATGTATTTTGGATAAGTATAGAATACTTTCTGTGGGTCTCAAAATGAAAAAACAAACTGAAACTCCATTAATTCAGATTTTTTTACTCTCTGAAGTACTTTATGACTTTCATATTTCATCCCAAGCCACATTACACTTGAGACACACTTTATTGTGTGTAAAAGACTTTAATACCCTTTAACTAAAAAGAAACTTAAAAAAAGAAAAACCTAAATATTTTCTAGAAAAATCAGTAACGCCTCAAAACCGCTTTAAGACACAATCCTTCGATTTCTGACGTAAGAGTCGAAACCCTTCTTGTTGTGTTTCTTCTTTCCTTTGCCCCTCCTTGCTCTCTCACTCGCCTGTCAATATATTGATGTCCATAGATCTGGTTCTCCCTGGTTCTGGGAAGGATCCTCTCTTAACTAAACCATAGATCTGGTGCAAATATGAGGCTCGAAGGCAGATGACGCGAGGATGGATCGGCTGTGGTTGTGGATGTGATTTTCCGCTCCGATCTGCTTTTGGACAAGGGTTGTGTAACAATATTGCCCATGGATCTAATCATAGAAGTCAACTAGATGTCATTCTAAAGATCCACGTTCTGGGTGAGTTTATAGTTTTGATTTTCTGCGTTGGTTTACAGTTTCGATTATCAGAACATAAGATTCATTTTTGTTTTGTTGATTTCTTATTGTAGTTGTGGATTTCAAAATTTTAATATGCAAAATTTCAATTTTAACTTTGATAGATGGAGAGAGAGCTGTCAAGATGAGCATTAATGTTGTAGATAACTGTATGAGGACGAAGAGAAGATAGAGAAACATTATTAGAAAACACAGAGTGTATGGTGTGGAAATGGAAGAGGTGGACAAGTATGTGGATGGGGTTGTGTGGATGGGTTATTTGTGGATGGGGTTGTGTGGATCGCGTGGATGGGTTATTTGTGAACGAATAATGTGGAGCTGGTTGATGTGTAAACATGGTCGTTGTGGTATTGCTGGACATGATCTTCTAGGACTAAAGGGTTAGATTCTGATGATGTCTTGCTTGGTGAAGTGGGAGTATGTGAGCCATCCACAATCAAAGATTGCTCTGTTTGATTCAATTACTAAACAACACGATGTTGGTAATAGTTTTATTTTTAATAGAAGTTTTTTATTTGTGTACAAAGACCATCCAAGTCCATGTCTATTTTTTGGATTGAAAGCAAACATTTTAACTTTTCCTGGTGTAGAAGATGTATATATAGAAAGGATATATGAGTAAATATCTATGCTAGAATACCTAGTTCCTCTTGTATATACTCTGTATTATTCACGTTTAATGAGATTAAGCTTTACGCTCCATATGGTATCAGAGCAAGGATTTCAAATCTAAACCCTAGCCGCCATATCCTTCTCTCACAATCAATCTTTCTCCTTTACGATCTCCTCTCTTATCATGGCAAACCCAACCAACACTGTAATCACCATTGATGATGCTACTCTCTTCAACGTTAACATGTCGAATGTTACCAAACTCACTGCCTCCAACTTTCTTATGTGGAGTCGCCAGATCCAAGCTCTACTAAATGGCTATGGCCTCGCTGGATATCTCAATGGCACCATCACTGTTCCTTCTGCAACAATAACGACGGCTGAAGTTATCACCGTCAACCCTGCGTACACGGCGTATCAGCGACAAGATCAGCTCATCTACAGTGCCTTATTGGGCACCATATCCGTCACTGTCCAGCCCATCCTTGCAACCACAACCACCTCTGCAGAAATCTGGGAGAAACTGTCATCCACTTACGCTAAACCAACCCGTGCTCACATTCAGCAGATTCGTCAACAAGTCAAACAATGGAAGAAAGGGACAAAGTCCATTGATGAATATTTACAAGGTTTCATTACTCGATTTGACCAACTGGCTCTTCTTGGTAAGCCACTTGACCTAGAGGACCAGATTGAGTTTATTGTTGAAGGACTTCCAGAGGATTATAAACAAGTCATTGATCAGATACAAGGCCGAGATGTACCTCCTTCTCTGACGGAAGTTCATGAGAAGTTGTTGAACAATGAAGTACGACTGCAAGAGGTTGCTCCTAATAACTCTCTACCGGTCTCAGCTAACATGGCTCACACACGTCCACCAAGCAACAACAACAGGAACAACGGCTCTGGCTATCGTGGAAACAACCGCTACAACAATCGCAGCAACAACACTTGGCAACAGTTTCCACCACGCCAAGGCAACACAAACTGTCCACAAACCAAATTGATTTTATTTTTGGAACATTTTTTAACTGAATCTCAACAAAAGGGTATTAATGTCATAACATCCACAAGCTGCCAAAAAAAAGTGTGTCAAATGTTCAATGTGTCTTTGAGTGAAAGACAAAGTCAGATTGTGGCTCATTATGTAAACAACTCATTAATTCATAAGTGAATTAAAATTATCTATTTGAAAATTTTGAAACCAACATAAATACCTAAAGCTAAAGCTATCATATGAGCGTTCAATCAGTTTAGATTTTTCAATCTTTGGATTGGGAAAATTTTGTTGTAAGGAACCCAACAATAAGTTTGGTGGTTCGATTAAGGAATTTATTTGTTGGATTTGCTTGTGAGAGTTTAGTTTGTATGTTTGATATTTTTCATAAAATCAGTTAAGTGACGCAATTCTAAAATAAAGATTAGAAAAAACATAACTCTGCCGTAAAACAAAACCAAATCTCGTGTATTTTCACTGTGACTGTGATGCAATCATGTAAGAAACTCGAAGATAGATTTTAAGAACTTTCCTTCCACAATCCTCAATGTTTCTAAAATGTCAATTGCATCAGAAAGTCACAGAAACTTGACATTCAAACCTACTTTTACTTTTCTTTTCCATAAAAAGGAACAGCTGAGTTTATGTTCTTTTCTCCCTCCGCGTTCCCACACCATGAACCGTGTGAACAGTCACATACATATACACTATTAAAGACAATAATACCCTTACGTGACCTTCCCCGAACAAACCAAAACAAAACAAAACTGAGCTTCCTTCGTCCACTACCTATAGCTTAGTTGGCTTCCATAGATGTTCCTTCTCCGAAACCACAAAACTCTCTTCCTTTATATACACAAAACCAACTCTCATTTCTACATCATTAAACCTCCTCAAAACACAAATACCCATCTCTCAATTTCTCTCACTCTATATCTCAAAAATGGCGACTCCTAAATCCTCAACAAGACCAACCCACCAAACCCCAAACCCCAATTTCCACGACCTCTTCCCCGCCATGGCCGGCAAACTCGGAGGAGAAGGTCTAATCGACGAGCTCTGCAAAGGATTCGAGCTCCTCATGGACAGAGACAAAGGAGTCATCACTTTCGAGAGCTTGCGGCGAAACGCATCGACGGTTCTTGGACTCGGAGATCTGACGGACGAGGATGTAAGGTGTATGATCAACGAAGGGGATTTCGATAGGGACGGTGCGTTGAATCAGATGGAGTTTTGTGTGCTCATGTTTAGGCTCAGCCCTGACTTGATGGATGCGTCACGGTGCGTTGTCACGGAGGCCATCGAGGAGGAGTTTGGTGATGGAACGCGCCGGCATTGATAGATAACCTTCTTTCTTGGGCAGAGACTTTGACTTTTTTTTTTCTTTTTCCTTTTGATTATTGTTGCAATTCGTATAAATTCGTGGATATTATAAACTGATATGGAAAAAAAATGAATGAGAACAGAAAAAAATATTTAAATACAAACTGCAAATTCAATTCTTCAGCCTTTACAGTATCTTTTTTTTTCCACTCGAATGATTTTTATTTTAACCTTCCACTTGTGAAAGTTGATGAGCAAGCAAGTTTTATGCGATTTTGTTTCAACAAAAGAAAAAAATACTAGTAGCTCTGGCTAAGCTGAGCAAGTCTTGTCTCTTGTCATATATGAGGTTCGAAATATGTTGGTATATCTTGAACAAATTATATACACTGGTCTGGTTATCTTTTCATCAGAAAACAAAGATATTACTACATATAGCATCCTAGCACAAACATTCAACTAAATAATTACTACATATAGCATCATGCAATATGGATTTTCTTTTCTACTTTTTGACGTTTTAGGGTTCATTTTAGCATCTTATATATTAGCCATTACATTAGCTTTAATTCTATGTTACAGATCTAACACTATGGATTACAGTTCTCCTCAACCCGCAAAAAGTACGTCTTCTCGGATCCGACTTGAAAATTGAAATCAGAGTAAGCAACTTTCGAATCTCTTAAACATATATACATATATTTTTAATATTGAAAGAACATTACAATTTTTAATCTATGTAATCACTAGAAAATTAAATTAGTCCATTTAAACATATACCATAGTTTTTATTAAACTAATCATAAATTAATTATTAATGCAAAAAATGATATTTTTCTTCTTTTCATAAATAAATACTATGAAATTACCCAATATAATTAAAATATATATTGCAATTAATGATCTGGTAACAATTTTTATATCATTCATCATTTTTGTTTAATTATATATTATTGAAATAATTTAACAATCATATTCACCTTATAATAAAAAATTAGATTTTATCCTATATGTTGTATTTTGAATTTTGTAAAATGATTTTACATTATTAAAAATTGTTAAGGTCTCACATATATAATTTTTGATCAATGTTTTATTGTCATAACAAGATACAAATGATCATAAAACTATATGAACATAAATTCTCATTCATATTAAGATATAAATATTTTAATACTGTTTAATTTAAATTATATTACAATATAAAAATAAATATTTTAGTTCTTTAATTTGCATTAAACAAGTATTGAAAACTTAATATTTTAATTTACAATTTGCATTGAATTTTTAAATATGATTATAAATTACTAAAATTATTAAAAGTTCACATTAAAATTTTTGATTTCAGCAATTTAATTTTTTTTGTTTAAGAAAATACAAACGATCATAAAATCTTATGAGTACAAATTCTTGTTTAATAGATAAATATATTAAAAAGTATACTATATACGTATGTTAATATGATTTAAATTTAAATATATAACATAAAAATATGTATATATGATTGTTTTGATTTATTTATCATAAAAAGATTGTAAATAAAAAAGTGATTATTTTAATGTATGTGTTTGTGCCAATTTAATTATATATGTAACAGTTATTTGTTTATAAATTATTGAATATATATTTATTATTTTATAATATGTACAAATGAAAAATAAAATAATAGTGTACCTAAAAAAATTTATATACCAAATGTTTGTCCCGAGCTTGCAGCAGATCTTAACCTAATTTATTATTCATTTACCTATTTTTGATTTCCAGCAAAAAATATAGATTAAAACCCCCGCTTTAATGAAAAACATATTAAGACTTTAAGAGTAAAAATAAAGCCTTTGTAACACATCTTAACACATCCATAAGCCTGGTCTTAACACATCCATAAGCCTGGTCTATGAGTGACACCGACAAATCTAGAGATGTTTCCGGTGTCCAGTATATATGCTAACATGAATTATTTTTTCTAGAAAAATGACAATATTATTAAGTAAAAATTAGACATAGATCCTTATCCCTGAATAATCTAGTATATTTAGAAGGTTTAGAACGATAAAAGGATAGACAATGATCCATTAAAACTAGTTCGTTATGAAAAGAATAAATGTCAAGCATGATTCAATGCAAACAATAGGGTGCCACCTATCCCACAAGCTCATGGTATTGATGTAGCTCAAGTCTTAAGATTGGACACTATTTGTATGATAGATGAGTTAGTAATTACATCAAAGTTTAGTGGGTATGGATGGATTTCAGTGGCTAGTTTGGAAAATGTTCATCTTATGGAGACAGAAAATTATTCACAGTGTGAGTTTGCCTTGCATTCAGAAGTGAAAACATTATGATGGGCGATGGAGAATATGATTCAGCACTCGATATGTCAAAACTTTGGAACAGATTACAAGGATTTAATCGCAAAACTAAGGAACAACATGTTTGGTCAAGCTTTGCAACAAAACTGGAAAAGATAGAAACTATGAAGATATGCTTATCGAACTTCAAGATCATTCGTATTCTCCGAACACAAAATTAGGTTTGAGATTCTTTAGTTAGGACTGTGCGCAAGGGCGGAGGCAGCATGAGAGGTGACCCCACTATTTTAAAAAAAAATATTTATTTTTAATCAAAAAAAATATTGACCCCAATAAAAATAAACTTTGACCCCACTAAAAATAGAAACCAACAAAATAATTAAAACAAAACTTTTTTTAAGTGTATAAAGAATATGTTTAATTTTTTATTTGTTAAAAACTAGATTTATATTAATTTTAACCTAAAATCAATAACAAGGTTTTATTTTAATGTTAGTTACATATTTGTATAAAAACCAAATAATTAACATTAGACAAAATTTAAAATCATAAACGAGTGAACTTGAAAGAGAAGATTTATATTTATGTTTTCGACGAACGCAAGACATTGAAAACTCTCATGTTCCACAAACAATTTTTAGATAACTTTTAGGTTTTTACTTATATTATTTTACTAATTCATTGATTCAATTCAATAAAAACAGTTAGGATTTATGTTCATGATCTGAATATATGTAACAATTTAATTTTATATTTAGAAGTAGACTAATCTTAAATTTATTAGATAATTTTAATCGTGAATCCGAAAAGAAAAATCTATCAACAGATGATAATTTTGAAACATGAATGAAGATTTTCAAAATAACATTACGAAAGGGCATTGGTAATCGATTTCTAAATAATTGTCCTATTTTTTTTATCAAAAAATCATATTTAGAGATATAATAAATGAAATTGTGATAAACAAGTAACAAGCATTTCTCATGTTGATTAGATCCGGCTGGACCGAACGTATCTTCAGAACGACTCAAACTCGACTACCACTTGATCTTTTAAAAATGGGTGTTAACAAAAGAAAAACAAATTTCAATCTATGAGTGATCTTTAGATGGTCTATAATTATGTTTTGGAAAAAAAATTCTGACCCCAGTACTAAAAGTTTATGTCTCCGCCATTAACTGTGCGGTCTTTCTATAGAGAACTATGTTTTATTGGTTGTTCTATTTCGATCTAGTTATCTAAATGTAATCAAGTTTTAAAAAAAAACATCTTAACACATCACTCATGAAAGTCTACATAGATGATTATGAGATGTGAGTGTCGTTTCTACTTTCAACCACCTGATCATATTTCTTCTTTTCCACTAGTTAATTTTACTTTAAATATAAAGCAAATATGGATGCACCTTGCGGGTGATTCATCAATGTAAGCTAATGCGTGTAGCCATGCAGTTCCTGAGATCCTGCGAAGAAGACCATATAATGCATGTACGTATTTTAAGCGACACTTTGGTCAATAAAGCTAATATAAAAAGTCGTTTACTTTGTTTCCACGAATATGAGCAAAATTAGGGGTGAACCGAACATCATATATATAACTAAAGGGGCGGAAAAGCGAAGCATCCTTAAACCACAAGCCAGTTTTGACATTTTATCATTGTCTCACTCATATTAACATCATATTTTCTTTTCTTTTGTATATATAATTTTATTATTTGGATATTTTATCATATAGTTCTTGGAAAGAAATGTCTTTCTACATTCGCCCCCTCTTGAGTACAACGAAAGGTTCCCGTAATTCTAAGGGATATCCAAAATGATTACATCCAAGTTCCTAGATATAATCTTTTTTTTTTCTAGATATAATCTTTATATATATATATATATATATGGATCCAACATATATAAGGTTTCACTGTTCGGGTGAAAGTCAATATACATGTAAAATATAAATCTGATATTTTGGTGCCATTGTTAGAGATGACGTAAATATAACTCCAATTTTGCAGACGAATTGTCTTAAAATTGGATTAAAAATAATTTACATCTACGTTATGTGTTATCAAAAAATTGACAATTGCCACAAGTCTCTGTATATGTAAATTTCCAGGGCTCCCAGGTTTTGGGAAGATATATTATATTAAAGCAGTTATAGTTATAAGTTTCAATGTTAGTAGCCCCAATATTAGAAAATAATTATCTTTTAGTTTTGTAGATTATAATTTCACTTTTAGAAAGTGTATACTGTTTCAAAATTATGTTAATTTATTGTGTAAATCAATTAAAAATGCTCCAAATTTTAAACTAGTTATAAGTTTTCTATTGTATTAATTAATAAAAAGATGCTCCAAATTTTAAACTAGTTATAAGTTTTGGTATATATCTAAGAACGACACTGCATATAAGCGGTATTTTATTTGTATATTTGTGAAGTTATAGATAATGGTTGTATATGATATCAAATAGCGATAGTTTTTAGTGGAGGACAACTCTAAACTGTTTTATAAGGAAGAAATCTTATCTACTCTAGTAAAATTGAATCATTTTTATCTACTATATAAAATTATAAAAGTTTATTTTATTAGTTACACAATATTCAATAAAAATAAATAATAAATTAGTTTTAACTATAAATTTTAATTTTATTTTTAATTATAACAAATCTTTTAATATAGAATCTAACAAAATCTTATTAATTTTTTTAATTTTTTCTTAATAAGAGCATCAAATTATTTTGTAATTAATACTCTGTTATTAAATTCATATTAACTAATTTTTATTATAAAACAAGAATAAAAAATATATGTTGTTTTATAAATCTTGTTATAATCTCTATTACATTAAAATAAAATTATTATATAAATTGAATATGACAAAATTATATTAAATTGGTAAATTAAACTAATTATTTTTAAAATACTTTTATTTTATTAAATTATTATCTACCATTAAAACAAGTTAAAATTTGTAAATTATGTAATATTCTTATACAAAAATAAAGTTATTAACATATGTAAAACTTTTTCTTCGACAAATATATATTTTCAAAAATCATATTTTAAAAAAATTAATTGATTATTTCAGAATATAAATTATTGTACTAAAGTTGAAAACTATTAACAGTTAATAAAAAGTAAATATATAAAGTAAATTACTATATATCAAATGTAATAAGAAACCTAAGAAATAAATTAAAGAATTGCACAATATATAACACTAAAATATAAATATCATACCTAAAATATTTATTATATCAAAATTAAACATTTAGAAAATAAAAAATATCTGCATGCGGGTAAAACTCTCGTAATTAGTTAAAGTGAAGTAACTTAACAAAAAAAGTGAAGTAAGAAACAGTGCATTCATACTAATTGTAGCACAACGATTATTACACTTACTAGTTAGTATATATCTATTGTGAATGAAAGTATACTTGTAATATTAGGCGATGTCTTACTGTTAGAATTTAAAATTCATAGTCGTAGTTTTTTTATTAAGAAAATTAAAAGTCAAAAAAGAACAAAGAATAATGATGACGAGAGTGATGATGCAACAGCTTGAGTCGGAATCACGATTGGATCAAGTCTTCATCCGATGGCTAGATATCTTCGTCGATCAAAATCGGACGGATAAGTTTTGTTGACCCTACCCTCAGTCAATTTAACACCTACTTGGTTGTCTTCATGGGGCTTGCTTCATATTCGTTGACTTGTTCTCTCCCAGTTTCATTCCTTCTCCACAAATATCTCATCGATAGATGTTTAAAAAGATGATTTCATTATTAGTTGTGAATAGGGGTGGGCACGGATCGGATATCCGGGTTTTTTAAGATATTTGTGATTTGCTTCGAATGTTACGGATATCTAATTTTGGTATTTGCTTTGCTTCGAAAAAATACGGATATCCGGAAAAACGGATATCCGGAAAATAAATAGATATTTGCGGATATTTACGAATATTTACGGATATCTCATCCATTTTAATTAGTACAAATAATCTTAAGATTTTGATACAAATTTGCATGATATATAAAATAAAACTTAAAAGAACTAGTGAATTTATAGATTTTGTAATTTTTTAAAGTTTAAGTTACAATTATAATAACACAAAATTTAAGAAAAAAATATAATTGTCAAAAATATTTTATCTTTTTTTATGTAATACTTTTATATAAGTAATAATTTGAATAGAATTGTTCAAAATCATGTGCTAAAATAATAATTATATAATTTTATATAATTAAAATTTTTAATATAATCAAAATATACATATATTTATATATTTACGGATCGGATCGGATATCCGTTTTCCAAAATTTTAATATTTGTGATTTGCTTCGATTTTAACGGATATTGAATTTTAGTATTTGCTTTGATTCGAAAGTTTACGGATATCCGGAATTTTCGGATCGAATCGAAACGAATAACGAATCGAATCAAATATAACGGATAAAATGCCCAGCCCTAGTTGTGAATTGTGATTGCTATGCATTTGGTGTGCAACGAATTGCGGATTGAGTGATTGATTGGTATGGTATAAAGAAACCACTAAACGATAGATAAGTTTAACCTATGGGCTATTGCTTATGAATATGATGAAAAAATATCTATATGTGATTTAACTGAAATAGGAAAATATTTGGTGTTGTATATGGAAATATTCAGAAGGTCTTTTAATATCAGTGATTATATTAACCCAAGCATATTAGTTAGTAACTTAGTATCACTACACAATTACAGATTCATGGAGACCAATTCCATTGAGATAATTGATTTTGCAAACTTTATAATAATGTAAGTCAAGCTACCATTTTGTGTAAGACTGATTCATAATTTAATCATATAAAGCTTGAATAGATAAACACTATGATTTCTTGTTTAGAAAAGTCACCTTCTAGAGAAAACAAGTATAGCAAAAAGCTTCTTTTCCTGTGTTAAATAATTACATTTTTGAGGGAAAACGAACATGATGATGATTATGAGCGTGACGACCACATATCATCATTATTTTTATGTTATTTAAATCGTTTAAATTTAAAAAATAAAACCAACTTTTTCCGTCCAATACCAAACCAGGTTATGAACGACTGCGTTTTCAGTTGACCACGTATACCCACCCCTATACTATCAGTGAAACTCAAAATTGCCCCACTAGTTTTCTTTCTTCAGTTGCTAGCTATAATCATGATAATTCTTAAAAAAAATGGCATGACTGTTATCAGGTTTCCAATAGTTTTTACCAAAAAATACGCATATGAAAATAGTGAATTTTATAAAGCTCTGAGGTTATGCAAATTTCACATGAAACATGTTAATTTCATTGCTTCATATCATAGTAAATCAAATGTTTATGCAAATATCGTTTCTCAACTCATGATGAACCAAAAGATTAATTGTTCATTGATATGTTTTAAAACTCACGAAGGGGAGGCTCAATAAATAAAAAGAAAAACTATGGGGTGAGATTTAAGTTCCTCTAAGAAAAAGAATTTGGAAAAGGATAAAAGAAAAGAAAACAGATGATGTTGGACCACTATAAATACGCGTACTGCATTTTCGGATCGTTGAACCATTCATACATCATCATCCACAAAAGAATTTTTTACGAGAAAGACTTCAGAGAAACTTTTTTCTTTTGTTTTGAACAACACTTCAGAGAAATTAAGAAACGATTCCGATGGCAACCAAAGTGTATATCGTGTATGTTAATTTTCTATTTATGTTTTTTTTCCTGATCTGTTCCTGTTTCTAGCGAGTTGATTTTACTTTTTAGAAATGTTTAAGATCGAACAAGGTGTATTGATTTTTCACCGATGATTGTTTTATCATCAACGGCACTTGCTTTTTCTGTTCGGTGGTTCAAAACCTCTTTGACATGTTTTGCAGGTACTACTCAATGTACGGTCATGTGGAGAAATTGGCTGAAGAAATAAGGAAAGGAGCTGCTTCTGTTGAAGGTGTTGAAGCCAAACTATGGCAGGTTAGTTTGTTCTGTAACTCTGTTCTTGACCTAATTTCTTCCATAATCAATTTATGTTTTCACTTAGAAACTTGTGTTCAAGTGGCTACATCACTAGGATCTAAATCCAAAAGAAGTTATGATAAATATATTCTCACATTAGCAGTAACCAATTATAAAGGAACTCAAACGGTTACTCGATTTTTGAATTGTTGTTACACAGGTACCAGAGACGCTTCCAGAAGAAGCACTCCTTAAGATGAGCGCACCACCGAAGAGTGGATCACCAATCATCACACCCAACGACCTAACTGTAGCTGATGGCTTTGTCTTTGGTTTCCCAACTAGGTTTGGTATGATGGCTGCTCAGTTCAAAGCCTTCTTGGACGCAACCGGTGGACTCTGGAGGACTCAGGCACTCGCCGGTAAACCAGCTGGTATCTTCTACAGCACTGGCTCTCAAGGTGGTGGCCAAGAAACCACCGCGTAAGTTCTCTCATCAGACAACAAAACACACACACTTTCAACATCATCTCCCTCTCTTTCCTACAATCTTAAAAACGTTTTCCTGTCTGGTAATCATCAATAGATTGACGGCGATAACTCAGCTGGTTCACCACGGGATGCTATTCGTCCCAATCGGTTACACATTTGGTGCTGGAATGTTTGAGATGGAGAAAGTTAAAGGTGGGAGCCCTTATGGAGCTGGAACATTCGCAGGAGATGGTTCTAGGCAGCCAACACAGCTTGAGCTAGAGCAAGCCTTTCACCAAGGCAAGTACCTTGCAACCATCACCAAGAAGCTCAAAGTATCTACTGCTTAGAGACTTTATGAACATTACTCTACCAATAAGAACAATTTGGTTCTGTTTATTTTATAAATACAATTTGGTTCTGTTTATTTTATAAATTATTTTCACTTTGAATTTGGGGGCTTGTGTGATATTTTTCACAGCAATGATTCTTGTTATAGATATGTAATGATTTGTGCTTGTCTTGCACTCCAAACAAAAGATGCGTGTATGCCTATAGTTAAACTTACATAAGATCTTAAGAATTCCCAGAGAAGAATACACAACTCATTTATTCAAAAGAACACAAACCGGTTCAAACTTGGTTTGCACTGCACTCAAAATCCTATAAAACCTAATCTTGGTTCTCAAGATTCCATGTCAAAGGACTTTTGAGCATTCCCGTAGCATCTGTTAATGAACGGCGACTTCATCATGTCTGTAGCCAAGTCTTGTGAGTTCTTAGGGTAGAATTTGCACAGCTTCATGTTTTAAGAGGCTTGCCTAGTATTCATTCTTTCAATCGCTCTCCTATATCTTGCCGCTTGGTGAGCTTTCTTTCCTACTCGAACACGCTCTTCCACAAGCTCTTTGAACTCTTCCTTTATTTCTGGAGACAAGCCTTCAAATTTGATCATTGCATCAGCAAACTCCCAGTCGAACAAACACGTAACCGCCGGGTCATAAGGGAACATCATGTATACCTCAGTACTACAGTACTCTTCAATACCATCTTCCTCCGAGTCAGAGAACTAACGAAGGCAGTAGTACGTAGTACTCATACTTATTAACATGTTCTTCCTTGATGTTTCCGAGAGAGTAGATTGTCTCTGGTTACAGAACAAAGTAAAGATCTGAGAGCTAGTCATCTCAACTTGTCTGTCTCTTTCTTCTAAGGGAATGTAAGGAACCCATCCTGTTCTATTCTCCTTCATCTTAAGGGTTCTTTCCAAATCTTATGTGCTCTGAATCGATGTGATGGCCAGCTCTTTAGAAGGCTCGGTGATTGAGTCGATGACAACAACCGTTGGGACATTTGACAAAGTAGTGTTGATCATTGTGAAGAAAGTGTTGAGGTTCTGCAAAGCCAAGAAGAGAAACCCTCCTTCCTCCAAGGCTTCTTCTAGGTGTTTGAAGTCCCAGTCCCTAAAGTGCATCAGTTCCCACTGGAAATGCAGCTTTCTATTAGTGATGGACCAACATCTCAGTATTTAATACCACAAGATATGGGTCACTTTTACAGGTTACATAGGTAAGAAACTGTTTATGTGGGAAATCATATGTTAGACCAAACCTGTTTCAAAAAAAAAAAAAAAAAAAAAAAAAAAAGACCAAACCTTGTTCTGATACCATATTAGTGATGGACCAAACTTACACCCAAAAACTAGTTTAAGAGTGGAGTATTGTCCATACACTTATATAATGACTAAAGATCACATATGTGTCCCATGTGGGACTCTCTAATACTTTCCATAAATCTTCAAGGTTACGTTTCTCCTCCAAGAACTCTGTCTCTTCCTCCCCTTGTGGTTTTGGCACCCTGGGTTTCTTATTCTCCACGTTATCGTTCTTCTGACATTCCTTGTTCGTTCCCCTCTTTCTTTAACTACCACCACGACGAGCAGCCAACATCTCGTCGTTCTGATCACCTTTGTCATCTTTTGATACATTCTTTCTCATCGCTCCCTTCCTCATCGTACTGGTTTTGATTATTTTTTTTTCGATACAGAAACCAAAAAAGGAAGAGATAACGGACACATGTAAACCCTAACTCTTTCAGCAAGGTAGCGAGTCACAAGGATGACTGAAATGATTTGTGGAGTTTCCTTTACCTTAAAGATGAATATTTATAGAAGACTGAAAGCATACAGAGAAGAGGAAAAACGATTCGAAAGAGAAAACTTAGATCAGTCGAGTATATTTCCAGTTTCGGAAAAAAGACGTAACAAAATGTTTTTTTTTTTTTTTTTGCTTTACAGTTAGTTTTCAACGCAACCAAAAATGAAACTAGGAAGATAAATTGCTCCAAATACTCTTTGTTCAATGTTCTTATAAAATATTTTGAAAGAGTATTTACACTTAAAATACTAAAAAATAATAATATATAATTAGTTTGTAGTATTTAGTAATATGAAAATATTTTAATAATAAAAATATATTTTGAAAAATAAAAGTTTCGATTAAATATTTAATTTTTAAAAAAATTTATTTCATATTTAAAATATAATATAATTTATATAATTACACATACCCTTCATTATTTTCATACCAAAACATAACTTAAAATGCATTTATGTATTATAGATATAAACATATTTATATTATTTAGACACCAATAAATAAACAATATAATAATTTTATGATAATTTTATATTTGAATAATTTACTGCTCAACAAATAAATAAATGAGGGTAATATATATATATATATATATATATATATTATACAATTAATTTCTTTTATTGAATAATATTAAAAGTTATGTTTACATCCAAATATATATTTTTAAATACATTTTTGATATAATAATAGTTCACATATATATATATATATATATAGAATATAATATATATATATATATAAGTTAAGGCTGGGATTTAATATCCGCTATCCGCTATTCGATCCGGGATCCGTTCTTATCCGCTCCGAAAACGGATATCCGGGGGGTCCGGATCCGGATAGTAATTTTATGGATCTGGCGAATCTGGATCCAAATACAGATAGTGAAATTTTTAGTCCGGATATCCGGATCCGGATTCAGACGCACTAAATATTTAAAATATAATTATATTTATATAGGTATATTATATATATTTTATTTAAAATAACAAAAACTCAATTTTTTATTAAATTATATTATTTTATTTTAAACTTTTGCAAAATAATAATTTTTAATAGAATAAATAAATACTAAATTTTTAAATTTTAATTTAATTTACTTTTTTTTTTTAAAAACACCGATCCGGATATCCGTGGGTATTCGAGTTTTAGTACATATATCCGGACCTCGGATATTCGGAGGACCCGAATCCGGATCCGGATATCTCAAAATATCTCGGATATCCGACCCGTCCCACCTCTAATATAAGTGAATAAGATTCATTATTTTAACAACAAGTATATAATTAATATATATTTTATATTTTATTTTAAAATACATATAGTGTATATTGAGGGGTTTTTGCAAATTTGACTCAAAACTCATGGTCAAACACAAAACTAACTTTTTCTTTTATCTCATCTTGTTTTTGTCCTATCCACCCCACATGTTCATTTTATTTACGAAAATGCCATTAAATTTTTTTTTTTACTTTTTTTCGAAAATGGCCTTTTTACTCTCTCAACCTCATCATCTTCAAGTATTTACAACATTGCCATTGCCATGAATACTCCCAACAACCTTGTACAACCCAACAACCTTGTACA